TAGGGACATTCCGTGATATTAGAAATTAAAATTAGTATGCCCAACAAGCAGACAGAAGACCTACTTCAGAATTGCATCATTTCATTTACAAATTATTTGAGACAGACTATAATTTATTTAAGCTCTGTGTTCATAAAGTATTTGGAATAATGGAGCCTTACAGGCCTGCTAAGTAAAAATAATTGTGAATATTTAAAAAAACAAGAACAGTTTTTTTGAAAAACCTGTTTAGGTAATTTTCTAATCAGGTACTGGATTTTTCAGTGCAGCCTGTGAATGTATGGGAAGAAAAGAAATGATCATAATCAATGTTTCATGAGAGGGAATACCGTATTATGTTTGACATAGCTACATAATTAGAGTCATGAATGAACAGTGTAAATTAAGACTGACAATACTTCATATTATGTTATCTGGTTGTGGAACCTCCCAGTGATCTTTATGCTGCAATGCACATAGAAGAAACCAGCTTTAACAAAGCTGCTTTTCTACATCCTATGGAAGATGATATGCAGGGGCAGAAAATATCTCTTTATTTTAGCCTTTGAGATTCTAGAAAGTTCAGTTCAATACAAAATTCTGCGAGTCCTCTAAGGCAAGATCTATATTGACAGCATCAAGAAGGAGGTCCTTTCTCAGGCATAAACTTTCCAGTTGTCTACCTTGAGAATGCCTGCTTTTAGACTCAATAGCAGTCTGTCTTGAGCCTGTTTGGCTTAAGGACCTGATATGGTATCAACTGTACTCTACTGCTAGCATCTCAGCCTCCCTTTTTATTTACCTATTTATTTGGTTTTGCTCACCACGCACAGGAAGTCTTCTTGCCATGATGATACAAGATTCTCTTCCTTAGTTATTGACCTGCAGGCATCTACTTTTCCTCTCCATTGTCCACAGTTTAAGACAACTCAGGAAGAGACACATGACTAATTCTGGATGAACTAGAGCAGTTTCTACAGTTTTGGTCAACAAATAAAGATACAGTTTTATGGAGAGCCACAGGGCTAAGTCTAGATGACCTTAAGTGGGATTGCAGATACAGGGTTTTGTGTTCATAAACTGCACTCGGTGCCGTACATCCTATCACACACTGACTGCTGCTTTCACTTACTTTCATAAAAGATATGGTCTAACATGTTCTATACACATCGATAATTTAAAGCTGCTGAGAATGTACGTATGAAAGTCACCCTCCACCAATTTAAGTAATTTTCAATTCAAAAACCTATCAGTTTCTCTCCAATAGTATTTTGTTTTAAAAGCAAATTAATAGACACGTTTAATATAATATCTGGAGTTAAAACATTTTTAATTTAGGCTCTCTTTTCTGGAGAGCAATACAACTTATTAAAAAGAGAAGAAAACACAAAAACTGCAATTTAGAGGGAAGAGAAAATGGATTAATGGAGTAATATTTGCAATTCGTTTTTAATTATACCAACACTTGACTGTCTAGGAGTATTACACAGAACTGAATTTAGAACAGTTGGGAACATACAGTTAGTCTTTGTGGGATAAACACTGATTGGCCCCATTACTAATATTTACACACCATTTTCATTTTCTGTGTTGTTTTCAGATATTTGCAAAACAGGTGTGTACTGTAATTTAATCATATTCAGTGTGTTCGCTGTTAAATCCCTACAAAGAACTTTCATCAAAAATCTAAGACAGTCTTTTTTAGGGTGGGTAAAACTGCAGGATTTGGTTTTTGTTTTG